CCAAGGCTGGTCTCAGAAGGATATGCATGTTCCCAGTGACAAGGCTCGAGTCCCGGGGCCAGGTAAAGGAGCAGAGTTGAAAGCAATGTGACCATCACGTGTCATCAATGTGCTTGTAAACACACTGATAGAAATTTGATTAATTGACTTGCTTGCTTACAGAACTGTTTGCTGTACAGCCCCAGAGGGCGGTTTCTTTCAGCACGACCCTCCGCCATCGGTGCCACACGGGCGGACCCTTTGCTCACCTACCCGCCGCCATCGGTGCCTCCTATGAGTTCTAATAAACCGATATCCTTTCCTGCTGGACCTCTGTGTGACTTCTTTGGAGTATGTAAAGGAACTTAGGTGCCAGCCCTCTCAGCTTTGGGGTTGCCACATTGCAGGTGTTTGGCTTACGCAGGCGAGAGTGCGTGTGTAGATTTCAATTTTTATTCCTAGTTAACAACTGAGGGCCTTCCACAGCCGGCGTAAGTATATGCATTAACTCATGCAATCCTTCCAACAATCTGGTGAGGTGGGCGCTAGCTCCTTTTTATGAATGGGGGAATGAGGCACAAAGCAGTAATTTTTTTTGGTGGACACACAGAAAAGGGGCTTAGAGAAAGACCGGGCATGGGACTCACACACAGAGCTTCTGATTTCAGAGTCCCCAGCCCTTATCATTCTACCCTACTTTCTCTGACAGCTGTCATATGCAGCCCTTAATAAGGCCCAGCTGTTTTGTGATTCAGTCCCACACAGAATCACATTCGAAATGCAAGTCCATTAGGAATAAAATTGTACTGTATATGGGATTCATGCTAAATGAGATTTTAGGGGCTCTTGCCACAAAAACAAAAAGAGGGTAACTCTGTAAAATGATGGATATGTTAATTAGCCTTACTGTGAGTAAAAGTTTACTATCTGTATCCCATGACATTAGGTTGCATACCTTAAAAATGCACAATAACATTTACTTTTTTAAAAAAATAGCCGGGCTCGGTGGCTCAGCCTGTAATCCCGCGCATTTGGGAGGCTGAGGTGAGTGGATTGCCTGAGCCTGTGGGTTCAAGACCCGCCTGGGCAGCAAGACCTCATATCTACAATAAATCAAAAAATCAGCCGGGCATGGTAGCGCATGCCTGTAATTCTGGTTACTTGGAAGGCTGAGGCAGAAGGATCGCCGGAGCCCAGCAGGTCGAGGCTGCGGTGGCCGGGAGCAGCCACTGCACTCCAGTCTGGGCGACAGAGTGAGACTCCAACTCAAAAAAAAAAAAGAAAGAAAGAAAGAGATACAAGTCCAGCAGGGAGAAAAAAAATGAAAGCAATTTACATCCCTAAATCAGATTCTCAAGGAGGTACTAAAAGGGAGACACACACAATATACCGTAAATTTTCTGAAATGCCTTTTTCTTCGTCTTATTTTAAATTTCTCTTATAGGTCTTGCTCACTCCCAACTCCCTTGAAGTTAAGCATGCCTCTCCACCTTCTCACCCATCTAAACTTTCTTTTGAGGGATAATTTTCTATCTTTTTAAAAGGAAATCTCGGTCGGGCACGGGGGCTGTAATCCCAGCACTTTGGGGGACTGAGGCAAGAGGATTGGCTGAGCCTGCGGGTTTGAGACCAGCCTAGGCAACATGGTGAGACCTCATCTCTACAATTTAAAAAAAAAAATTAGCTGGACGTGGTAGCATGCACCTGTAGTTCCAGCTACTTGGAAGGTTGAGGTGGAAGGATCGCCGAAACTCAGCAGCTGGTCGACGCTGGGGTGGCCGTGAGTGTGCTACTGCACTCTGGCCTGGGTGATGGAGTGAGACTTCAACTAAAGAAAAAAAAAAAGGAAATCTCACTATTCTTTCTAGCTTCTGCTTCTTAAATTATTCCCTTCACTGATTATTATTACCCCAGTTTCATAATATGTCCAAACATAATTTGGAAAGAGAGAGGAGGATGTCTGGGAACAGAAAAGAAACCATGGATATTTGTGTATTAATATTTTTCTTTGTCACATACATAACATGGGTTCCTAAATATTTCTTTTAAAAAAGTTTTTACAGATCTGAAACAAAACTGGAAAAGTTGAAACAAAGCAGTGAGTTTTTTATAAAATCCAAAGTATTTAATTTAAAGAATTGCGCTTTATTATGAGAGTTTTGAGCTTAGGTGATAGTTTTGTGGGGGTTTTTTGTGTTTGTTTTTTCTAAATACCCTTATAGCATAAGATTAAGGGGGGAAAATTGAAAAGTCACAAACCTAATGTTGCTTTTCAAATTAAAAAAAGAAAAGCTGGTCTATGACATTTGAAAGCCTTGAACCAGGGAAAGGTGACAAAGGCAAAATAGTCTTAAAACATAAGACATTGCAAACTACAACTGGTTGCTTAGCTAAGGAACTGCAGGATGATGGAAGGAGTGTGTTCCAGCTTCCTAGGGCTGTTGTCACAAAGTACCACAAATCCGGTGGCTTACAACAATGGAAATATATTCTCACAGTTCTGGAGAACACAGGCTTGCCATCAAGTTGTCAGCAGGACCTTTCTCCTCGTGAAACTTATAGGAGGGAATGCTTCCTTGATTCTTTCTAGCTTCTGGCGGTGGCCTTTGATCACCAGCATTCCTTGGGTTGTCTGTGTATCTCTTCAGTCTCTGCCTCCAATATCTAATTCATAGAGGCTAAATGCTAAAGCTCTTAATTATCTTGCACAAGAAGTCCGCAGCAGGTGGGCCCAGAGTTAGTTCTGCCTCATCTTCTCCTTGTAAATGCACTAGTTATATTGGATTAGGGCTCATCCTGTGACCTCATCTTAACTTGATGACATCCGCAAAGACCTTGTATCCAAATTTGGCCACATTCCCAAGTCCTGGGAGTTAAGACCTCAACATATCTTTTTAAAGACACAATTCAATCTATGACAAAGTGCATAATCCAATGGGAAAGAGATTTTGCCAAAGCAGATTTGACTCACCTCTTCTTGAGTAAGGAGTCTAAAATAGGTCCCCATTCTCAAGAAAACTGCCTTCAGTCTCTGAAACTACAGGAATGGAAACAATCATCCAAGGTGAGAGAGTAGAAAAGGATCAGAAGAGGGAGGAGAATAGGGCCCTGAAGAAGCCAACATTTAAGAGGTAAAATCAGGAGGAGGCACCCATAAAGGAAATGCAGAAAGAGTAGCCAGAAGGATTAAAAGGGAACCAGGTGAGCTTGATGTCACAGAAGCCACTGACTGAGAGGAGTTCACAGAGGCAGAAGTGGTTATCAAAGTCAAAAGTCATAGAGTTCAGGTAAGAAGAGGACAAAAAACATGTTGGATTTGCCAGTTAGTAGGGAATTAGTGGCCCAAATTAAAATGTTTTCAGTGGAGTGGAAGAGGAAGAAGCCAGAGAATACTGAAGAATGAATAAGGAAGAAAGTACACATCATCTCACTCTTAAGCGGACTCTGAACATTCACCATAATACTATGAGAAAGGAATTGGCAGTAGTTGGAAACTGCCAGGGGAGGGAGTGGGGAGGAGCACATGACATGAATCAGGATGCCTGATCTCAAACCAGGTGAAATGGAAAACAAAGGGAGGCTCGAACTTTACCTGTATAATGACTGCTGGCACACCTAATCCTGAATTGTACCCCCACAGCTTAAAAAAAAAAAGAAAGAAAGAAAAGTGGACATAACATGAACAATCTACTCTTTACAAAGACTTGGCCATGACAGGAAAGAGCACAATAACTAGAGAGAAGAGTGCATAAGGGGAAATTGTCATTATTTTGCAAGATGCGACTTGAGCATAATGCA